AAATGCAGTGATTGTAAGGTGATTCCTGGAGAGATCCTAGCATCTCAACATAGGATTTTGGTACTAGATTTATGTTTTAAAGGGAAATACCAAGTTAGGAAGGATGGTGGGCATCGTAGGACGAGATGGTGGATCCTAAAAGGGGATAAACTAAAAATAGTTAAGAATAGAATGGATAAGTAAGGTACTTAGGACTTAGAGGATGATGCTAACACTATGTGGAACTCGATAGCCAATTGTATGAGAAGAATCTCAAAGGAAGTGCTTGGATAGTCGAAAGGAACGGGACCTAGCTCTAGGGAAACTTGTTGGTGGAGGGAAGAGGTTCAAGCGGTAGTTAAGGCAAAAAAGAGTGCTTTAAAAAGTGACAGAAGGATAGAACTAAGAAAAACCTTAAGAGTTATAGATTGGCTAATAAGGAGGTCAAGAAAGTAGCAATAGAGGCTAAGTTGAAAGCTTATGATGACCTATACATTAGACTAGATAGAAATGAGGGGAAAAAGAGGGTATACAAACTTGCTAAGATACGTGATAGGAAAATAAGAGATTTTCATCAAGTTAAGTGCATCAAGAGTGAGGATTCTAAGGTATTGGTGAAGGATGAAAAGATTAAGGAAAGATGGAAGAACTATTTTGAGAAACTATTAAATGAAGAACATGGAGGTACGTCAATAGGAGAAGAAATAGCCAGTAATACGATAAATCAAGACTATAGGTTCTATCGCAAGATTAAAAACTTTGAAGTGGAGATTGCACTTAAGAAGATAAAATCAAATAAGACTTTAGGACCCGATGATATTTGTATTGAAGCTTGGAAGTGTTTAGGTAAAAAGGGGGTTGCTTGGTTGACTAAATTGTTTTACAAAATTTTGTTGACTAGGAACATGCCAAATGAGTGAAGGAAGAGTATTTTAATGCCAATCTATAAGAATAAAGGAGATATCCAGAATTGTAACAACTATAGAGGAATTAGGCTAATGTGTCATATAATGAAAGTGTGGAAGAGGATGATGGAACGCCGATTGCGAGATATAACAGAGGTGTTAGAGAATCAATTTGGGTTTATGCTTGGCAGGTCAACAATGGAAGCAATCTATCTTTTGAGGAGAGTAATAGAAAAGTATAAAGAAAAGAAGAGAGACATTCATATAGTGTTTATCGACCTTGAGAAAGTATATGATAGAGTGCCTCGAGATATAATACAGTGGGTGTTAGAGAAGAAAGTGGTGACAAAAGGTTACATTGATGTGATTAAGGGTATGTATGAAGGAGTGGTGACTACTATTAGATCGCCTGTTGGAGAGACAAATGAATTTCCTATCATTGTAGGATTATACCAAGAATCTACCTTAAGTTTTTATCTTTTTGCTTTAGTTCTAGATGAGTTAATGAGAAATATTCAGGATGATGTGTCATGGTGTATGTTTTTTGCAGATGATATCGTGTTAGTGGATGAGACTAAAGAAGGAATTAACACAAAGTTGGAGATTTGGAGAAAAATACTTGAATCTAAAGGATTCCAAGTAAGCAGAACTAAGACAGAGTACATGGAGTGTAAATTTAGTAACAGTAACAATGAAAGCAGAGGAGAAGTGAAGATTGAGAACCAAAAATTGCCTAAGAGTGAATATTTTCGTTATTTATGGTCGATTATCATAACGGTGGGGGAGATTGATGAAGATGTGACCCATAAGATTAAGACGGGATAGCTTAAGTGGAAAAGTGCATATGAGGTACTGTGCGATAAACGAATACCCACTAGACTAAAAGGTAAGTTTTATATAACAGTTATTAGACCAGTGATGTTGTATGGGACGGAGTGTTGGGCAACCAAGAAACAACATGTAGATAAGATGAGTGTTGTTGAGATGAGGATGCTAAAGTGGATGTGCGGCAAGAGTACAAAAGATAAAATTAAGAATGAGTGTATTCGGGAATAGGTAGAAGTAGCACCGATAAAAGATAAGTTGAGAGAGAATAGATTAAAATGGTTTGGTCATATTCAACGGAGACTAACAGAGGCAGTAGTGAAGAGATGCGGTGCAGTGACGGTAGATGGAAGTGTTAAGGGACAGGGTAAGCCTAGATTAACGTTGGCTAGCGTTGTAAATAGAGATATAGATCTACTTAATTTGATTAACAAAATGGCATTTGATAGAGCCGCCTGGAGAAGAATGATTCATGTAGTCGACTCTATTTGATGGGACTTAAAACTTAGTTTGGTTTAGTTTGATTTGGTTACTCAATTTCTATTGGATCATGTTTCATTTATTTAAAGAAAAAATATTATTTTTGTTACAAAATAACTTTTCAAACGTCAACTTAAAATTCTTTGAATTTTAAACATTTTGAAATAATTAAAAAAATTTCATACTCAATTTCAATTGGATCATATTTGATTTATTCAAACAAAAAATAAATAAATAAACAAACAATCAGATAAGTGTTATTTTTTTAGATAAAAAAACAAATTACAAAATGTAACAACAAATAACCAACCAAATAAGTACTTGAAATTTAAAGATGTTACTATCTGATGATATATGATTTTTGAAAAGGCTACCCCATGATTTACTATTTTTAAATTTTCGTGTATTGTCGTTTATTTATCTGTACATATAAAATAAGAAAATTCAACATCCATCATATCTGTTTGCTCTATTTGTAATTAATATTTCTTTATTTGGAAACAATTTTTATCTATTAAATGTAATGATTCTCATTCTTTCTATTGTTTGAGAACTTGATTTTTGGGTTTTTTCTGATTTTTTTTTTCACTACAAGACAAATATTTTACAAAATCAAAAAAAAAAAAAATTCAAACAAAATATCACATCAAATCTCATAATTATTTCACTTTTTCTCTCATAAACATCACATCTAATCACAAAAAAATCCAACTATCTTCTCAAACACAAAAAAAAAAAAAATTCTTCAATAATATCCTACAATTAAAAAAACCTACAAAAAAAATTCATTTCTCAAACACCCACTTAGTGTAGTAAATTCACCATTCTTTAATTTCTAGTCATCATTACTATTAATGTCATTATTTTTTTGGAGAGGAATTACTATTAATGTCATTGTTAGCCATCAAATACACAAACATAATATAAAAATAATAATGTTATATGTACTAATTAGTATATCAATTAATGATATGACATAATTTAAGATATTTTTAATATTTATAATTTGTATAATGAATGCGGTTAATAATAAGATCATAACTAGTATTAATATACTAATTGATTCATATAGTACCATCCCAATATAAAATGAAACTTGAGTTAATCTGATTAGAAACATACGGTCAGCCGAATTTAGGGTCATATTTGAAATTTGCATTATTATTTTTTTTTTTTGCTAGCATTCATATGACTCGATAACATTTTACTTTCTTACAAATAATTTAAAATTTTATTTTATTAAGAGTGTTTTTAAACATGCGTCATTCGCTAGTATTATATAATTCAAATAGAAATATACAAAATTTATACAAATGTGCCTCAGTTTATTAATTAAAAAAAAAACCCTCTCATAATTATCATTCATAATTCATAATTCATAATTCATAATTATAAATTAAAAAAAATAATGATTGACAACATTTCTGGTTTTCAGAAAATTTTATTTTTTTATTTTCTATATTTTAATATTTTTAATAATTTTTTTAATATTTTAAGCAATTATTTTTAATTTTTAGATATACCTAACATAAACACGTATAATATTTATAAAAAAAAAAATCTTTAAAAAATACTCTAAATATCAAAAAAATATAAAAATTTAGTATTTTACGCATTTATTAATTTTTTAAAATATTTTTTTCACAAATATTTTACTATTTAGAATTAATGTCATTGTTGGCCATCAAATACACAAACATAATATAACAATAATAATGTTATATGCACTAATTAGTATATCAATTAATGATATGACATAATTTAAGATATTTTTGATATTTATAATTTGTATAATGAATGCGATTAATAATAAGATTATAACTAGTATTAGTAAACTAATTGATTCATATAGTACCATCCTAATACAAAATGAAACTTGAGTTGATTTATTAAATCTGATTAGAAACATACGGTCAGCCGAATTTAGGGGCTTATTTGAAATTTGTATTATTTTTTTTTTTTTGCTAGCATTCATATGACTGGATAACATTTTACTTTCTTACAAATAATTTAAAATTTTATTTTATTAAGAGTGTTTTTAAACATGCGTTCGCTAGTATTATATAATTCAAATAGAAATATACAAAATTTATACAAATGTGCCTCAGTTTATTAATTAAAAAAAAAACCCTCTCATAATTATCATTCATAATTCATAATTCATAATTCATAATTATAAATTAAAAAAAATAATGATTGACAACATTTCTGGTTTTCAGAAAATTTTATTTTTTTATTTTCTGTATTTTAATATTTTTAATAATTTTTTTAATATTTTAAGCAATTATTTTTAATTTTTAGATATACCTAATATAAACACACTTAAAAAGTATAATATTTATAAAAAAAAATCTTTAAAAAATACTCTAAATATCAAAAAATATAAAAATTTAGTATTTTACGCATTTATTAATTTTTTAAAATATTTTTTTCACAGATATTTTACTATTTAGATATATTTAAGTAAAGTATATCTAAAAAAATTACTTAAAATTTTAAAAATGTTCGCTAAAAATAAAAAATATGAAAAATAAAAAATTCAATTTTCAGGGACACTTTGGAAAGATTGGTAAAAAGTTAATTTTTTTGACTTTTTAACTGTTTTAGCCAAAAAAATTCAACTTTTTTATCCAAAATAACCCAATTTTTTGCCAAAAAAAGCCACCAAAAAAGTCAAAAATTCAAAAAGTCAATTTTTTACCAACTTTCCAAAACACCCCTCAAAATATTAAATTCACAAAGCTGAAACAAAGTATTTTTTTATTTATAAATTTATGTATTTATCATTTCCAAGTTACAATTTACCAAAAAATAAAAAAATATTGATGGAACAGCTTGAATGGGTTAATCTCTCTCCCTGTTTCAGGGCGACGCCTCTACTCTGCGAAACCCTAATACCGATCTAAGATTCTCAACTGGCTCTCTTCGATTCTCGATCTCCAAGGTAAGACCTCTTGCTCATAATCTATCTACACCTTTTTATGTTTTCCCAATTTTAGGGCTTATTAATCTATTTGCAATAAATTTAGGTTCTAATTGATCAGAACTATCTCTTCATTAATCAATTTTAGGGCATTATAAAGATACTTATTTAATTTCATTATTCTAATTTTCATACGAATTACATATGTAAAAATGAGTATGCATATGGACAAGTATTTGATTCGATATTTCACTGTATTGAACAATGGAGGAGTTGTATGAAATCTTAGAATGCACTTGGCTTCTCCTGTATGTGGATTTTAAAGCTATAAATTGCATACTAGCCTAGTTATGATCTTCCACTTATAACTGTAGCTTCATAATTTACACCCATTTCAGGATCTGTTTGGTTTGGAATTCTCAAAAGCTTTTAATCGAATTTTTTTTTTAAATTTTTTTCTTGAATTTTTAAAAATATTTTAATCGATTCTTTAGTTTTTAGATTCACTTTGGTTTGGGAATAACTTATTTTTTTAACTTTTTGGCTAATATATGAGGTGAAAAAAATTAGTATATTTGAGATATTTTCTGACTTTTTACAAAAAAAAAAATGCAAAAAAGTAGATAGGAAAGGAAAATTTTAACTTTTTTTGTATAGTTCTTTGGCTTTATGGCCTTTTTTTAGTGATTTTTTAACTTTTTTTTTACTATTATTGTAACTTCCCAAACTTGCCTTCTTAAATCTAAATACATTTAAAAAATATGAAATTTGTGCAAAAATCTTTCAAAAATGATTGAATACAATAATTTAGTACATTGTTATATTTTGGTTGTATTCAGTTAAATTTTTTACTTTTTAAGTGTATCTAGATTAAGTGGATTTAGAAGTTTTAAAAAATTGATTAAAATGATTAGAAAATTCACTAAAAATAAAAAAATATATGAATTGAAAACTCGTAAAATTGTTTTTGAAAACTTCAAAACAAATATAGTCAGGATTGTCTTTTTTTTTCTCCCCACTTTTTTTATCATGCTATGGAACTTAATAAATTATACCCGTTTCTGGAATTATTACCCTGTTCGGTTTTGTTTTTAAAATCTGTATTTTGAAAATTTTAGAACTTTTCATATGATTTGTCTCTTTTTGGGGACAAAAATAAACACCAAGAAGATATTCTTGCCTCAAAAAAGAGAAAAAAAATCATATGAAAATGATGAATGTTTCTGATTTTTCATTTTTTTCACCAAATCAGTTTGTAGATTTTTTTATTTTTTATTTTTTTATTTTTATTTTTTTTGGAGAAGTTCAAAAAACAAAATCAAACAAAGTGAATAGCTTTGTCTTTTATTTTGGATCAGGCAACTGATTTTTCTTTTCTTTTTCTTATTAGTGGTATTATTATTTTCCGTAATGAGAAAAGAAAAAACATTTTTATAATGATTCAGGTCATGGCTGGGAAGAAAGTTATAGCTATATGTCAGTCAGGTGGTGAATTTGAAACCAATAACGATGGCTCATTGTCGTATAGAGGTGGGGATGCTCATGCTATGGAAATTGACGAGCATATGAAGTACAATGATTTTAAGATGGAAGTAGCAGAGATGTTTAACAGTAATGTTGGTACTATGCCTATCAAATATTTCCTCCCAGGCAACAAAAAGACACTTATCACAATCTCCAATGACAAGGACCTCGAACGCATGATGAAATTTCATGGTGAATCCAACAGCACTGATATATATGTCTTGACAGAAGAAGTAGTCGCCCCCGATGTCTCAAACATGTCTGCTAGTAGGTAGTCCCCTTTCTATCTAAACTCTTAACCAATATTACCAGAAAGAAATCCTAATTTACATTAGCGATTTATGTTTTGGTATACATTTCAAAACATGGTACACTTTTGTTCCAAAATGGTGAATTTAGCAATCCAAAGCTTTCCCAAATTTCCCCCCCAATATATTTCCTTACAGTTTTCTTATGAGGGTAGAAAATTAAATATAATGTACTAAAATTTAAGGAGACTGGATTTTTGACATTAAAAAAATGTCAAAAAAAATATCATAATGCGAATAGAAATATTTTTTTACAATATTAACTTGAAAAAAATAAGATACATTTTATTGAATGTTTATTTGGTAAAAGAAAATTGTTCTAGTAGTAGTATCTTACACTAGTATAATCTAGACAATTATACCCCTATCGTACCATATTTTCGAGTATGGTATGTACTACATTCCTGTTTCCTTTCCTGTTTTATGTACCGGAACGATCCACGTTCTAGGTAACATAGGTCTTAACATAAGATTTAATTGTTAGTGATTTTGGAGGTAATCATTTGATCTTGCAGGTCAAGTCGGACTTCGTTGTCAGAAGCAGGGGTTCTAATTGATGCTCCTCTGAGTGTTGTGGATGACACAACCCAACCAGCTGAACTGCTAGATAATTCTTTTGTTATTCTTGATGATACTACCTGTGTTGATGCCCATATGGATATACCCATTGAAGTGCATCCACTTCTTACCTCTGTTGGTTCCATTGATGAGAACCATAGTAAAGTTGCACAGCAATGGCAGAACAATATTACGGGTGTTGGCCAAAGATTCAATAGTGTTCATGAATTTCGTGAGACCCTACGTAAATATGCTATTGCAAATCAGTTCGCTTTTAAGTATAAGAAGAATGACAGTCATCGTGTGACTGTCAAATGCAAAGCTGAAGGTTGTCCATGGAGAATTCATGCATCAAGGTTATCGACTACTCAATTAATTTGTATTAAGAAAATGAATGCCACACATACATGTGAAGGGGCTGCTGTTACAACTGGGTATCAGGCAACAAGAAGTTGGGTTGCAAGTATCATCAAGGAGAAACTAAAAGTTCACCCAAATTACAAGCCAAAGGATATTGTCAATGACATTAAACAGGAATATGGAATTCAACTAAACTACTTTCAGGCATGGCGGGGAAAAGAGATTGCTAAGGAGCAGCTTCAGGGTTCATATAAGGAGGCATATAATCAATTACCCTTTTTCTGTGAGAAGATGATGGAGACAAATCCTGGTAGTGTAGCTACTTTTGCCACTAACAACGACTCAAGCTTTCATCGCTTGTTTGTATCATTTCATGCCTCTTTGTATGGTTTCCAGCAGGGTTGTCGGCCTCTACTTTTCCTTGATAGCACACCCTTAAAGTCAAAATATCAAGGCACATTGTTGGCGGCAACAGCTGCGGATGGCGATGATGGAGTTTTTCCTGTTGCTTTTGCAGTAGTCGATGCAGAAACTGACGATAACTGGTGTTGGTTTTTGCTACAACTGAAATCTGCATTGTCAGTGGCTCAGAGCATAACATTTGTGGCAGATAGAGAGAAGGGACTAAGGGAGTCAATTGCTGACATATTTCGTGATGTGGATGTTCACCATGGCTACTGTATACACTATCTTTCAGAACAACTTCTCAGAGACGTGAAAGGTCAATTTTCTCACGAAGTGAAGCGGCTTATGGTTGAGGATGTCTATGCTGCCGCATATGCACCTAGATCTGTAGGTTTCCAGAGTTGTGTCGAAAGCATTAAAAGTATTTCACTAGAAGCTTATAATTGGGTCATACAAAGCAAGCCTGAGCACTGGGCAAATGCGTTCTTCCAGGGTGCGAGATATAACCATATGACATCAAACTTTGGAGAGCTGTTCTACAGTTGGGCATCAGATGCACATGAGTTACCAATAACCCAAATGGTTGATGCAATACGGGGTAAGGTTATGGAGTTGATTTATACAAGACGTGAGGATTCCAACCAATGGCTGACGAGGCTAACCCCATCCATGGAGGAAAAACTAGAAAAGGAAAGCCTAAAATCTTGTTCCCTTCAAGTGTCAATTTTAGCCGGTAACAGGTTTGAGGTCCGTGGTGACTCCATCGAAGTTGTCGACCTTGATCAATGCGATTGCAGTTGCAAAGGGTGGCAGCTTACTGGTTTGCCATGCTGCCATGCCGTTGCTGTCATCAGTTGGCTTGGTCGTAACCCATACGATTATTGTTCTAGATACTTCATGACTGATAGCTACAGGTTAACATACTCAGAGTCAATACATCCTGTTCCAAATGTAGAGAGGCCTATGCAGAAGGAATCTTCTCAGAGCCTGGTGACTGTAACCCCTCCTCTCACTCGTCGTCCACCAGGACGGCCTTCTACTAAGCGATTTGGATCACAAGAAGTGGTCAGACGTCAACTCCAATGCAGTAGATGCAAGGGTACCGGGCACAACAAGTCAACTTGCAAAGAGTTTTTGTTAGGGTGCTGAATTATGTAATGTAAGTATAAATCTTTTTGTCCATTTATAAATTTTCCCCCAGTTTGTTGAACTTTGTTTATGTATATATTTCAGGTCTGTGGCAGTAGAATTTAGTTGCATGGAAATTTTGGTCCATCCTCCTACATTATTCTCTGCTGTTTTTGCTGATTATTACATGAATATAAATTCTATTCTTGACCTTTGTGAATTTAGATTTATGGCTTGCCCAAATATATGCTGCTCTTCTAGTTTGTAGGAATGTGCATGAACTCCTGATTTCTTCTGGTCTTAATTTTTGAGTTAACTAACATGTCAATTTATTGTTTTGACTTTTGAGCATTTGCACATCTAATCAGCACCGTTCCTGTCACTTTTTGTTTATACACACACGTGACATTGATGCTGATTATTTGGTTGATGTTTATGACATGTTTGTATGCCACTGGCTACAATTTAACTATTGAATAATTGTACAGACTTCCTGAAATGCAGCAAGATTCTAGGGTTACCACCCCACTACCCCCTACCCCCGCCCTCTTTTAATAAGCTATGCATCAACATCAGTAAGAAAGATGTAGCATAGCAGATCTGTTGTGTAGACCACATGGCATGCCTATGCTGCTCCAAGGCTTGTCTACTAGATTGGCATTAGTTAGAAGAAAAAATGAAGCCTCATTGATTGGATGATCCTGTATTGATCATTGAGTGCAATTTTTAGATCAATCGACACATATATCTTCCAAATGCTAAAAAAGTTAAACTAAAACAAATTTATAATTTTAAAAAATAAAGGGATTTTTTTTTTCTCTGTGTGAAGAAGAAGACTGACTTGAAATTCAGATGTGATCCAGAAAAATCATTTTGGGATTGTGGTTTCGGGACCCTGGTGTTGTGAAATCTCATAATAATCCACCAATATGCAAAACGGAGGTTAGCCAGCAGGGGATTGTGATGCAACCAATCATCATTTGGGTTGTTCCTGTCAGAATAATGGGTGCTGTTGACCCATTCTTGATAATTTAAATAATTCATATTATAATTTTTTTTTGAGAAGTTTATTCTTAAAAAAAAAAAATTCAAATTCAAATTGATCAAATAATTATAATCACATTATTATTTTATGTTTCTTTAAAATAATGAACATAAAATAATAAATGGTCTCTTTTAAAATTATAATTGTGTCATCTATTTTTTATTAATAACAAATGTAATCTAATCATCTGGTTATTTTTGTCCAAATAATTTGATTTTTTGTGAGAATAATTTTCTTGACAAGTTTTATAACATGAGTAGCTCCAATTATCCAAATAGACTCTATAGTGAGCCAATGAGAAATCAACAGTATCTATACTTTCAATGGGAGAGGAACCTCTCCCATTATAATTGTGTATTTATCACCTTCAAGAAAATTAGGGATTTCCGTATAGATCCTAATAGGTGGATTAATTATTCAATAAGTTCTATGATAATTAATGATATTTTTCATCAAATATTATTAAAAATGTCACTAATTGTTAATTTTCAGTGACATTTTAAAAAAATTGTTACAAAAATGTCACTAATTATAAGTTTTAGCAACATTTTAAAAAAATCATCATAAAAAATTACTAATTTTTTACTTTTAGTGACAATTTAAAAAATTCGTTAAAAAAATTATTAATTGTAAGTTTTAACGACAATTTATAAAAACTGTGACAAAAGAAAGTCATTATTTATCAATTTTTAGCCTAACAAAAAATATCACAAGATTGTTTTTAGTAAAAATTTTATTCTAACTTATTTTTAATAGGATTTACTAATTAAATCCAACTATAAAAACTTATTGATAATTTGCCAAGAAAATGAACCCGAAGGGCCACAACATGTCATGTGCCTCGTTTGTATCTTTCTTTAATTTGAATTCTACTTCATACAAGTAGTTTTTTCAATTTTTTGAATTATTTTTCAGTGGATAAATGTCGTGAGGACTCGTCAAATTGAATTTGAGCCATAAAACGGACATGTAAAGAAATCATCACATTGCTTCTCCTTCTAGACTTCTATTCCCCTACCATTGTGTAAAATAAAATAAAAAAAATCGCTTTGCTCCTTCAAATTATAGCAATTATTAATTTATAGTGAGTTTTTAATTTAATAATTATTTTAATAATTTTGTTTTTATTTATTTATTTATTTATTTATTTATTTATTTATTATTATTATTATTATTAGGGTTTAGAGGAATAGAAACAACATGTATGTGATGAAAAATAGATTAAAAATTAAAAGATTGATCAAACTTGAACAATCAGTTTAATTTTATCAATTTTTTTTACACCCCTAATTGAGAGGACAAAATGATTTTTTTTAAAATAGAAGAAATTATAAGAAAAAAAAATTAAATCAAATTTTGATCTCGCTAACAAATCAAATCTTAACTTTTAAATTATTTCATTTTAAACTCTAAACTTTTAAAATAGTATTAATTCTAACCATCCGTTCGTATAACTAACAAACAATGAACAATTTAATCACTTTTTCTCCTTTCATTACGGTTGACAATCATCTCTTATTATTACCATAGTCTATCACCACCACTCATCTTTCCTAATGTCATCATTTTTTTCATGTCCACTGCTTCTCTTTCCTTTTGCCTACCTCACTACCACCCCTCTTTTTACTTTCTCAGTCTATAGCAACTGTTGTCATCCAGTATCACCAATAAAAAGTGAATAAATTGACTAAATTACCTATGTTTCATTAGTTATAATTAGAATTGAAGTTATTTTAAAAGTTAAGAGTTTAAATTAAAATAATTTAAAATTTAATTGTGTTGTAAAGGACGAACTTAAAAAAATTTCTTTAAAAATTATGTGCATTATGGGTGGACCTCAACTCTTTGATACTTCAAAATACAGTTGGCAAAGAACATACAAACGTTTTATTATTAGCTGTTCTGGACCAACCTAAAAGCGACATTTTTTAAAAGCTATACTATTTGTTGGTATTTTTTTTTTACAACAATGATTCATCCCACTAAAACTATTTGTTGGTATTTTTTTTATATAATAATACAAGAAAAAATACATAAAATAAATTAAATAGAAATAAATAATTCAAACAATCCAATAATTCTAGACAATTAAATTAATTTTAATTTTAAGAGTTACTAGAATAAATTAAAATAAAAACTAAATTGTTTTTTCAAAAACTATTTATAAAAAATCTGTTTTAAGATTCACCGCCTCCTGATGGATTCTGGAGCTACGCTAGTCAAAACCAACTAATGCAGAAGCACTTTCAGAATAGTTTCGGCGAACTACTTTCTCTAACAAGAATCAAAAAAAGGGCTAGCAAAAGAAGATAGGGAAATTTTTCTTTGGTGAAAAAAAAATATCTCTAACTTTTTATCTCAAACACCATCTCCATTTTACATCAAAAACCTCACCAAAATATCCTCCCAAGTTGGAGGGGAAATACCACTATTTATACAAGTAAGGGAATCCCTAGCCATGAAAGTTATACATTAATAGGGACATCAAATGCCATTAACCAAGGCCATTAACGAAGGCTATCAACTCTAGCCATTAGGACTAGAGTTACAAAGGTTGAAAACCTATGGCCACTAATATGATCATCAACTCCATCATCAAAATATGAGAGTTATAAAGGTCTAAACCTCCTATATTCTTAATATATACAAATAAATATGTATATAATAATATTTGAATAAACCAACTAGATGGATCACAAAATTGATATTAATGTTGGGTCACAATCCGATCCAAGCCTAATTTTCAAACATATGCATAAGCCAAGCCCAATACAATATATGTTAGCCCAAGCTCAAGATTAAGTATGAGTTCAAGTCTAAAACCAAACTCAGCACAAGCACAAGTCTAGACTCAGTCCAAATTTAAGCTAAACTTTATTAATACCCACTTATGAGACAATTCTCATTCGCAACTCAATAGTTTCGACTCATTATTTTTTTTTATTACAACCTTCTCATTTAAGAGAATACAAAATCATTCAAATCCATCTCAACTGGCAATTGAGCCTCATTTTAATTTCGAATTAAAATTATCCGAAAACTCATTATTTTTCAACACTATTTGTGTATCAAATAAATGTTTTATTATTAGTAGTTGTTTTGATTAATATTATTAGTTGTTTTGGACCAACCCAAAAGAGACGTTTTTAAAAGCTATGTTGTTAGTACTATTTGTGCATTAAGTTGCCAAATGAGAAGTACGTTTGTAATTTGGATAGTACATGTGATAGCATAATATCTGTAGTCTGTTGTACTGGTACTACTACTATTTCTTACTAGCACGTGTACAATGTACTACAACAATTGTCACAACAGCTTTATAAAACTCTGAATTCACACCCTTTGAATCCATGAGATATGTAAAAACAAAGCATATTATAAATTAGATCCGGCTTCTCTTCAACTTTTTCTATTCTGTTATTATTCAGCAGTTGATTCAAAAGTTACAATATCAAAAGTTCTTTCTTTGATTCATTGGAAAAGTGATAAAAGGTAAGATTGAAGAGGGAGGATAGACGGGGACGAGACAGAGCATGAGATGAGATTTTCATCAACACACTTTTGACTGATAAAATATGTCGGTGCTCTTCTCCTGCACTGCCTCTTCCCTGGCTTTCCTCTCTCGTTCTTTCTCTCTGTCCCTTTTTCTATCTCTAATTCTTGCTCTATTTCTTTTCCTGTCTAAATAATAAATTGTTTATAAATAGTTTGAGCTTGACTTTGTTAGGTTTTATTTTCAATATCTTTTTTTTTTTTAAATAAAAGATTAGTTTGGTGAAGAAAAAGATTTTTTTTTTTTTTGAAAAAAAAGCTTACTATTTTCAATTTTCATATGAATTTCTTTTTTATAAGCTAAAAATACCTTTTTTGTAATTATTTTCATCAAAGTAATTTAATATTTAAAATAAATATATAGATTTTGAAAATTAAACCAAAAAAGTAGATAATTTCTGCAACATTAGGGTTATCTAACTGTAATTTGCAAGCAATTATTCCATACCTCATGAGCACCTGGCTTTCCTCTCTCGTTCTTTCTCTCTGTCTCTTTTTCTATCTCTAATTCTTGCCCTATTTTTTTTCCTGTCTAAATAATAAATTGTTTATAAATAGTTTGAGCTTGACTTTGTTAGGTTTTATTTTCAAAATCTATTTTTTTTTTTAAATAAAAGATTAGTTTGGTGAAGAAAAAGATTTTTTTTTTTTTGAAAAAAAAAAAACTTACTATTTTCAATTTTCATATGAATTTCTTTTTTATAAGCTAAAAATACTTTTTTTGTAATTATTTTCATCAAAGTAATTTAATATTTAAAATAAATATATAGATTTTGAAAATTAAACCAAAAAAGTAGATAATTTCTGCAACATTAGGGTTATCTAACTGTAATTTGCAAGCAATTATTCCATACCTCATGAGCACAGCCAAATGGTCTCCCATTATAATTGTCAACGGTCAATGTAATACGGTCTATTTTTTTATACTGAGTGATTGAGAGATAACATGAGACGTGTTATTTCATGCTTCTAAGACACTCAATAATTTACTTGCAATCGCATATTCTACTTTCACCGCATATTCTTATTTCACTTGCAAACGTAATTTGACAATAGATTCATGATTTTATCTATATTTATATTGCCACAATATTAGTAGGTCAATAGTTTTAATTATTATACCAGACTACTGCCTACAATATTGACTCAAATCTATCTAAATGCTCTCTCATGATCACTTAAACTACTGCCTAAGCTGACTGTAAAATATTTATAGTCCTTTCCTATTTTAGACCCTGCATAAAGATAGATTCATATTTTCCTCTTTTTTTTCTTTCTTTTTTTTTTTTTTCGTATCGTTTGTATAGCTACTAGGGCACAAGATTATCCATTTTAAGGTTGAGTTTGATAATTATTTTTTTAATATTTTTTTATTTTCTTAAGATAAAGTTGTATAAATTGATAGTCTGACAAATACTTACAAGAATAATTTTTTTGGTCACTGGGAAAATTTAGGTAAGTTGATTTTTTTTTTTTTTTTCTTAAGTTTTATACCCTTCTAGACTAGAGGAATTCGAAAATTTTTATTAAAAAAAAAAATTACAAATTTTAAAGATTTCTTAAAATGATAAAAAAAAATTTAAGAAAAAAATTAACAATTTTAGCAATTGCCAAACAGAACAATTTGGCTTATTTATTTATTTTTCTTCTTATATAGTCAAAAAGTGGTTTAAAAGGCCATAGCCAAACATAGCCTAAATAAAAAACTCTAGGACATGCCCGTGACTCCACAGATATAAATTTAAGGCTAAGTTTGGGATGTTCCAAAAAAGTCAAAAAGTTACTCAAAAAGTTAAAAAGTTAACACTATTCACTAAAAGTCAACAATTACGGCTGCACAACTCCCAATTCAAAATTTTCCTTACAAATCAATTTTTACAATTTTTTATTACACATTTTTCAATAAAAAATCAAAAAGTTAACCCAAACATCCATATTTTCAACCTCAATTTTTTAGTCCAAAAAGACAAAAAGTACACTTAGTCTTCCCAAACTTGGCCTAAATCAGTGAGGTAGTCCTACGATGCATGCTTTTGGGGTGGCTTTTTTTATGATTTTTTTGGTTAGTTTTTTTTTTTTTTTTTTAGTGACTTTTTTGAAAAAAAATACAATTTTGGGTTCTACTTGACCATACAAAATGGAAAAGTAAAAAGAAATTAAAAAATAGCTGACCATTTTTTTTTAATTTTTAGTGAACTTTTTTCTGATTTTTAATTTTTTTTTTTTTTTAACTTTTTAGGTTGGTCTATAGAAGATGAATTGAGAGAGAGAGAGAGAGAGTGTTTAAAAAAAATATATTAAAACAAAAAAAAAATTGTGACTTTTTGCTGTTTGCCAAAAAACAGTTTTGTCCCTTCTAATTTGTGCATTGGAGATTGGTGAATGTAAATTGTAATTATAGGTGGAAGAACATTTCAGAGCTTATGGGATCCCAACTGCAGAAGTTATTTGGTGGTCTAGCGCATGTCAGGTGGTGCTTCAGGAATATTATAATTGATGAAGGGAGGCCTCGTTTGGGAACAGACTATTTTAGTAACTTTTTGACTTTTTACGAAAAGATGTGTAAAAAAATAGAGAGGTGATGTGACAACTTTTAGTAACTTTTTGACTTTTCGACAATTTGAGACTCATAATTTGATGTTATATCATGAAAGAATAACAGATGACATGAGATTTAATAATTGGTAAGAATATTATCACATTGTGACTCAATACCGCCTAATAATTTTTCCAAATGCAGCCCAGTCACAACAAGAAGGATCGGAGATGCTACTGTGCGGGGTGCGCAGCAACATCTGTTGTGCGACAAAATAGGTTCATTTTGGAGTGTATTTTGATAATTCGAACTGTTCACATTTTAAAATATATCAAGTAGAATATGTCTGTAAAAAATCAAATTAATTGGATATCGTTTACCCATTCATCCACTCACATTCTATCTATAAAAATAAATAATAATTGTGATTTAAAATATTAAAATGAATACAAATATGAATAAATAAATAAGTAAACGATATCTGATTAACTTGATTTTTTATAAATATATTTTAAAATATGAACGATTCGAATTATTAAAATAAATCTCAACATAGACTTATTTTACCGCGACCTATTTTACCGCGCAATGGCTGCTGCTGCGCAGCAGCATCCCCAAATTCGTCACGAACAATGACATGTCATAAACACAAAACTAGATGCTTACAAAGTAACACTTCTTGACCAAAGTCCCATTATTCAATTCCTTTTTATTGAACAATTGATCCAATCATGTACTACCACTTGTATTTGTTTCTGAATGGAAAAAGACAGGGACTCCCACTAGGAGACCCCAGCACGCACACTCCCAATGAGTGCTGATTAGTCAATGTTTTCTTTTTCTTTTTAATCAAATCACTGACCCTCACGTGTAAGGAGAGGGATGGTAGAATTGGGAGAAGAGTGAAGGTCTCAATCAAAATCCTTTCTGAATTAAATAATTCATTCAAAAACCTGTAATTGCTTTGTATATTACAGCTGTGATTATTAATATAATTTATCCTTTTTAATTAAGATTAGTTTTAGTTTTATTCTCCTAAACTATAACCATTTTTTTAACTTCATTCTTAAATTGTCAATTTTGTCTATGTAGTCTTGAAATTTCTGATTTCTATTTACATGGCCGAATTAGAGACAATTGTACAAATCAACATAAACAAACACCCATTAAATTGGTGATGAAGTGTATTTTGTTCAAAATAATAATAATAATAATAAATAAGCGTTCTATTGTAAAATTTAAATTGTTCAAATTTTGAAATAATTTTTTTTTTCAATTAAATTAGGCTTTAATGTTTATTGATTTGTATAATCGTCTCAAATTGGACCATATGAATACCAACAAAAAAAAAATAGAGACTAAATAGGAAAAATTGATAGTTTAAGAATGAATTTTAAAAAATTAAAAAAAAATTAGGGAATAAATTAACCATACAAAAAATTATGTTTTGTATTTAATCCTATAACATTGGCACAATCTAGTCAATTTAAATACTTATTTAATGATACAAGGACAAATAATTATTTTGATAAAAAAAATTAAAATAAAATAATCATGTGCACATTCTTTTTATTAAAATTACAACACTATGTATCATATGGCCAAAGTTATTAAATATTTTTCCTTACACATTAGCACTTGTTTATGATTTAGAGTTTGTAACACTCCCAAAATATTAACAATGAAAATTAAATGAAATTAGACAAACCATCATGCAATCCTACCTTAATCGACCAATTCCTCAATCCGTATTTCATTACAAGGAAAGAGTTCACAAAAGAAGTTTCTACCTACAATACATATTCACCCTCTAAAAAGATGAATCCATAATATGTGCAACTATTATAAGGAAACAAACAACATGAACAATGAAGTAAATACCCTGAGGTTACAAGTTTTAAGGCTAAAGCCTGGTTATACAAAAAAATTATCAACCAAAACACATTAAGCCCTTGGCTTGCATTAACATCACACAAAAGGGAGAGTGTCTTGCTCTCAACACATTCCACACCTTCAACTAGGCGGAATCACTACATCCTTTCTTGCACAATTGAAACTAGGGATGAATACAAAACCCAGTAGAGATATCGTCACAAAGTATATATGTTTTAAGCAATCTCATAAAGTTATATATATACGGTGCCATTTCCATGATAAAACCCATGTAAATATTTCATTCAAGATTCATTATTATTATAAAAATAAAACAAAAACAAAAATTAAAAAAAAAAACAAAAAAAGATTTAAACAATGAGATGGTAAATACAACTCAAGTATTCCCCAGGGCTAATGTCTGCAAGTAGGCATATCAAGCACTACTAACCAGAGGACTTAGGCATCCACATGCGCGTGTTTCTGGTCTTACACCAAGGACACTCAGGCGCCAACTTAATTTCCATTCTACACCCCCTCACCAAACTTGCCAAACATATTTATGTTAGATAATGTCTCAATGGGACTACATAATTAAATGTGGTGTTATCATTTATAAGAAGCCTACAATTTAAGTGATTCAATTTAGTTAATAGGCTTAAGGGTATATGTGTTATGGACCTAATGTGTAGATACTAGTTGTATAATTTCTATTTCTATGAGGGGCAGAAATAGAAATTAAAACATATTAGTTAAAGTTGGTTTTCATTCCTTTTGAACTTCCACAACCTTTCAGCTTTGAAAACCAGTAAATAGAAATCAAAACCAACAATGGTTAAAGTTGGTTTTCATTCCTTTTGAACTTCCACAACCTTTCAGTTTTGAAAACCAATAAATAGAAATTAAAACCAATAAGTAAACCCGCAGGTATGACCTCCCTTGGAATCCCATAAAATATATTCCATTTTATGGTGGTGCAGAATACCATGATTACCATCATTATGTTGGAGGACAAAGCCAGAGCAACTTTGCATCCGTGTTCACCTACTGTGATTACATCTATGAAACTGATAAGGTCGTTATACAATTAGTTTTAATTATTATTTGAAGTTTTTTGGTTTGACCTAACTGATTATATTGTATCATAATAATGTTATTATTTGATTTATGTCATTAGGGCTACCGGTAAAAAAAAAAAAAAATAGAGACTAAATAGGAAAAATTGATAGTTTAAGAATGAATTTTAAAGAATTAAAAAAAAATTAGGGAATATATTAACCATACAAAAAATTATGTTTTGTATTTAATCCTATAACATTGGCACAATCTAGTCAATTTAAATACTTATTTAATGATACAAGGACAAACAATTATTTTGATAAAAAAATTAAAATAAAATAATCATGTGCACATTCTTTTTATTAAAATTACACACTATGTATCATATGGCCAAAGTTATTAAATATTTTTCCTTACACATTAGCACTTGTTTAAGATTTAGAGTTTGTAACACTCCCAAAATATTAACAATAAAAATTAAATGAAATTAAACAAACCATTATGCAATCCTACCTTAATCGACCAATTCCTCAATCCGTATTTCATTACAAGGAAAGAGTTCACAAAAGAAGTTTCTACCTGCAATACATATTCACCCTCTAAAAAGATGAATCCATAATATGTGCAACTATAAGGAAACAAACAACATGAACAATGAAGTAAATATCCTGAGGTTACAAGTTTTAAGGCTTAAGCCTGGTTATACAAAAAAGTTATCAACCAAAACACATAAGCCCTTGGCTTGCATTAACATCACACAAAAGGGGGAGTATCTTGCTCTCAACACATTCCACACCTTCAACTAGGCGGAATCACTACATCCTTTCTTGCACAATTGAAACTAGGGATGAATACAAAACCCAGTAGAGATATCGTCACAAAGTATATATGTTTTAAGCAATCTCATAAAGTTATATATATACGGTGCCATTTCCATGATAAAACCCATGTAAATATTTCATTCAAGATTCATTATTATTATAAAAATAAAACAAAAACAAAAATTAAAAAAAAAAACAAAAAAAGATTTAAACAATGAGATGGTAAACACGACTCAAGTATTCCCCAGGGCTAATGTCTGCAAGTAGGCATATCAAGCACTATTAACCAGAGGGCCTAGGCATCCACAC